TTAATTTCTATTCATTTTGCCCTAACTACATGTAGAAAATAATTTTACTGTTATTATTAAGGTGTGGTCATATCATTCTATCTAAATCCATATCTATCACTTGCTCAATATTTATCTTGCTTTATTATCTCCCTTCTAAGTACAGGAAAAACAGTATTAACGTCATGAAAAATTTGTAAGGTAAAAAATGAAAGTGCAAAAGTCAAAAATAAGGAATAAACAGAACTCGGCATTCACTTATTAATTCATATATTTTCACCTTTATCTTCTCTTCTCCCCAAATTTAACGTAGTTAACAAAAACATCGTACCTAATATTCCATAGAGCATCCTCTCTATGTTTGTTGAACTTATTTATCGGAGAAGCAACAGAGAGAATATAAAACCTTTAAATATCAGACTAACTCTTCAGGGACAGTTCAATCTAGGACATTAGTATAACAGCTTAGGTAGAAGGCACGTGGTGGTTGAACGGAACTTACACGCAGCCAACAGGAAAACTTAAATCGAAAAGCCAGAACAGACAAGAAACTTTTCACCAAAAGCTGAAGGCTGCATGTGGAGCAGAGGTAGTTCATTGTCAGGAGTCCAGAGAGTGAAAAACACAACATTGTCTTTTAAAGTTAGGAAATATGAACTCATTAGGAAGACAGTGTTTCAAGATTACAGCTTAGCAAAGTAATTATCAGCTGTGAGATGGAACGTAGACATGTTTTTGAACTGTGTTAACTGAATGCACCAGGAATGACCTAGAACTCAACAATTCATTCAATAAATAATTGCCACGCAGGTATTGGGACAGCAGTTGAGGATACAAAGATGTTAAGGCACAGTCATTACCTTTAGGCAGCCCACAGTCTCGCAGTCTCAGAAAGGAGACAGGTATGCAAAGAAATAGTTCCCAGCTCAGTATGGGCAAGCGAAAGATTAGCTGCATGTGCAGACTGCGGAGCTCACATAGAAAATGAATAATTTTGAGTAATTGCATCTATAGAAATCTGAGGGAGGGAAGGGGTAGAAAAAAGATTTCCCAGAGGAAAAGAAATCAGAAATGAACGGTTCAACCTAAACTTTACTTGCTCTTACTTCACTTCCTACATTCTTGAAAAGACAAGACTTGGTTGGAAAAAAATAAAAAGAAAAGAAATGATCATCACAGCAGGGTTTGATTTTACTCCTTGGCAAGAAGTAAAGAAGTACAAGGGGCCAGAAATCATGGTCATGAGAGGAGGAGGTCCAGAATCCAAGCAATTGTAATAACCAAAGAGAAAGACTTTTAAAGCAATTTTAAATTGAGTTTACAATCACTATGAAGCATTATTTTCCTCCATATCTTCCAAAATGATCCAAATCTTACAAATACCACTCGCAGACTTTATCATGCACGTTTGTTTCTAGTAGAGAGGAAAACTTTATTTAAGCTGTCTCACTTTTGATACATGGTCAGGGGCCTGACCTATATCGCTTTAAATATCCAAAATTTACTTTCAGATCACAATCAGGATAACCTAGTTCTTTGTGCCCTCAATGAATCACAAACAATTCAAAAACATATTTTCAGAATCACTTATCAAAGACTATCCATCCATACATTCTCCTATTTTGTGCCTCAGATAGCTTGTGAAGTAGGTTATTTCTCAATCTGAGTGTGTTTATAAGCACTGTAGCAAAAGCACATTATATGATTATAGAACAAATGTAAGGCAAAATCTTTTTATAGGTAATCTGTGTGATCATATTAAAAAGAGTATGTGTGTGTGTATATATATATATGTACATACTATATATTTAGTGAGCAATATATATATATATTTGGGAAAGAATCCATCAAAATAAATATAATATATTGCAAAATAATATAGATCTATATATTGCTCACTAAAGGAACTGAAAATAAGGAAAAAAGCATTTTAGGATAGCACTGTTATGAGAAAATTATTTTATTTTATTTTATTTTATTTTATTTTATTTTATTTTTAGACAGCACTTCATTCTGTTGCCCCAGGCTAGAGTCCTGTGGTATAAGTGTAACCCATAGCAAAGTCAAATTCCTGGGCCCAAGTGATCCTCCTATCTCAGCCTCCTGAGTAGATGGGACTAGGGGCTCCTGCCCCAATGCCTGGCTAATTTTTCTGTTTTTTAGTAGAAACGGGGTCTCACGTGGCTCACGCTCGTCGTGAACTTCTGAGCTCAAGCATTCCTCCTGCTGTTAGGATTACAGACATGAGCACCCTGCCCGGCCTTATGAGAGTATTTTAAATAAAATAGATGTCAATCTTATGTCTTTGATTTTATAGCTACCAGTTATGGGTTGTCTATTGTTTCCTAGGCTTTTCATTAAGTTCTGCTTGTACATTCTTCATCACAAGTACTTAGTCTTCATCACAAGCTTGCAAGTAACTGGTATTATTCAATTCACATAGGAGGATGAGCTTGGAACCCCACAGATACTTGCCTTTAGAAGTTCCTCCAAAATATAGGATTAAATGTAATGTTGGGGGAAAGATACGGGGAACTTTTCAGACAGAATAGTCTGAGTGATGTATAGAAGCAGGGTGATGAAAAATATCTAAGTTACATTCTGCCATTTCTTAGGTGCAGCAAGAAAGCAAGCACCTCCTTCTAACTATAGGCAGGTTACCCAACCCTGCTGTTCTCCCCTCGGGGTCTGACCTACATAATTTTCAGAATATTGGTGAGGCCAAGGTCAGGCATCAGCTCATTTCATAGACTGAGGAAGTCCAAAGAACAGGAAGTGATAAGCTATAGGCGTGGGTCCTACCGAAAGAGCCCAAAGTCCAGCAGTTGGTGGAGTTATTTAGTTTCATCTATGTAAGTACAAATATTTGACCTATTCGTGCTGCAGGAATAAAGCATGCCATGAATAATTGAAACGTTTCTCTTCCTGCTAGTTTTAAGAATTCCAAGAAATTCCATAAAACAGCTCGCTTCCTCCCAAGCAAAGAAGATACATTTATTTTGACGGACTATCTCTTTCCCAAATACTTGTCATAAATTAGTCACTGCTTTCCTAATGCAGCTCTAAATTCTCCAAACCAGAAAAGACAGTTTTATTTGCTATCCCCCATGTACTTTCCCTGTTAGTATCAGGTCCCCAAGGTGGTGTCTTTCATGACCACACTGTATTTCAATGAACCTCTCTGAATTACTGCTTAAACGCCAGGATCTCACGGAATGGAATTTGAAATTATTTTGCATGCAGTCATTATATTTTTAATGTTATACGGAGATGGATCTTTTTGCACAAGCGAAATAATCTCAAAACAGACAATAAATTTCATAGTAAAAATCTCAGTATTTTCTAATTTCAGACGTTCAAACTCTCTTTTAGGAAGGATTCTTTAGACATTTTATGATGTGCATATTTGCTCAGTGGCTGTATCGTAGCCAATGAGGGTTATCCAAGGCTAAACCATTGCTAATTAAAAATTTTTCCCAATGCCCGGCCACAACAACTGGCAAAATAGTCAGCCCTGGCAATTTTTGATTGTCTCTATGGAGATGGAATAATAAATAAAAAGAAAGAAAAAAAAACATTTTATGATGCTATAAATTATTTTATAAAATATGCTGCTCACCTCTTTCAAGCAATCTATATTTTTCTATTTACATTTTCACTTAGGTTGTCTTTTTTTTTAAATTTTTATTTTAGATTGTCCTAAATAAACATAAAATTCTAAGTGGTGGAGTCAGGATTGAAAGACTGGCAGGATGGATTTCAAATTTTATGACGTTTGTGCCAATTATGTTGCCCATCCCAGAAGTTCTCACTGTTGACTGTGCTGGGCACCTAAGAAGCTTGGAGCTCCATCAGCAGAGCCTATTTAGGAGGAAGAAATCAGGCGCCATTTGCACAACCGTCAGCTCTCCATTGCTTTGAACACTGAGACTTCTGCCTTGTTCTTGAGGCCTAAATGCTTCCAGGCTACCGTTTTATTTATTCACCCAAGGAACTTTCAGAATGGGTCCCAGGAAAGCTAAATAATTTTAAAGACAATAACCTCCCCCAGGATCTTGATAGTTTGAATGAATTAAGATCTCAATACTAGAAACTTAAAAAATAGGTATTTTACTTTTTTACTTTTGTGTGTATGTGTGTCCAACCAGAGGGAGGTAGATGGAGTGAACCCAATGGAAGTGGCACCAGTGATACCTACTGCCCATTTTCCCTTCTTTATCTCAAGGTTTTATCCCTCAAACAGCTCTAAGGACTCTTCTGAAGAATAAACATGACTGTTGACATATGTAATAGTGAGGTCATTTCTTAGTTATCTCTGGGTGTGTGGGTCCTTTTTGCTTCTGCACACAGAAAAATGGGAGAGGAGAATTGCCTCTTAGGTGTCCATTCTAACTAGAATGAGCTGTAAAGTCAGTGTAGCTGCCCTCTAAATGCACAGTTTAAAGCTTAGCGGAATCTTGTAGCTCATGTTTTGAAGTTTAATAACCTGTAGAAGAGAGTTAAGGAATTTTTCTAACATCAGAATTCCTAGTGATGCAGCAGGACTTGTTTATTTATGGATCCAAAAATAATTGATCAGTCACTTAGTGCCGGAAGTACAACAGTGAGCGAGAAGGCACAGTCTTGGGTTTTGTTGAATTGAGCAAATAAATATTAAATCTGTGGGTTAGGTACGTATCATGAAAAACCTCAGGATACTTTAGAAAGAGTAGAGGAATTTCAGGAGACTTTCAGCAGAAGTTAATGATCAGCAAGTTTGGAATGTCAGAGAGGCTTCCCTTAATAAAGTCATATTAACATTGGAATAATAACAGTGTTGAGTTAGATAAAGTTAAAAAAAAAAAAAAAGCCATTGTGTTGGAAGAGCATGCCAAATAAAGGGGACCTTATGGACAGAGTCCTATGATGTGAAGGAGCTTTTTCTCTTAGTATGAAGAGCAGGGTCAGTGGAGGCACAAAGTGAAAGTTCATTTGACTGGTGGTGATGGGGAGTGTGGATGACGATAGAGACAGAGCCAGATCACGCAGGTGAATTATGGAAGTAAAAATTCACTCCAAGATCAAAGGGAAGCCATTGAAAGAATTTACATGAGGAGCAACGTGACCGGAAGCAACTTGAAAAGCCCAATCTAAGCAGGACAAATAAAACAGAGACGAAAAAGACAGCACAATAAACGTACACTACGTAGATGAGCTAGTGAAGACGTTTATTCTTACAAATAATCTAATTAACACACATGAGAACTGAAGAGAGAAAAGACCCAAGGAATTCAATAATCTTGGTTAATTAGATGTTGAGATTGTCAGCTGAGAATCCCAGAGACAGGGTTAATAATGGATGTCAGAGAAATGATAATACTTGAAATAAATTCTAATAGAAACAAAAATGATAAGCCAATCGTTATTGCACCCTAGAAATCCTTTCAAGCCTAATTTTATTAACTCAGAGCAGCTCTGTGAATTAAAAAAAAATATCAGCTCTACTTCGGGGAATTTAGAGAGGACAAAGTTAATTAACTTTCCTATAGTCTCACTATTCTTAAGTTGTAGAAACAAGATCAAAATCCAGGCAGTGTGGTTTGAGCGTCTCCGTGCTCAGCTATTCTCTTACAGGCAACACAACCCATCAGACAAAGCAATGGCAACCTCCAGCCGAGGTTGATGATCATAACCTTGAGGTGCATCTGTCTGCTCTGCCAGTGCCAACATGATCTGGGGTGACTCAATTCTTTCATGTAAATTCTCTTTTCAAACAGGATTTAATGCACTGAATCAGGCTGATATTTTCTGAAGCTGTAAAATAAACTCCTTTTAAACAGTGTTCCCCGCCCCCAGTATTCTTCTAGAATCCTTTTTCCTTATTTTTTAATATGAAAAATTCACAAAAGTAATGCAGTACATTATATTTTGCTCATCGTGTCACTAAATGTGATTTAAAGTCAATCTCTCTCTCTCTGTCTTCATGTCTCATTCACTGAAAGTCCATGAACAGCTGAATATATGGTTAAATGGTTAATGATATCCTAATTTCTTGGGTTGAGCCAGGCCAGAATTGCAAACATTTCTCTTATAAGAGCATAATAATAGTTCAGTGAAGGTTCTATGCATAATTTATTTGTACTTGCCACAAACTCCTTTGTAGTGTGTATGTAACAGTGATGTGTTTTATCATCACAAACTTAGGTATGCAAAAATTGAGGTCTTTGTTGTTCCCTGTGAAATTAACTCCTGTGTCTCCATCTTCAGTGTTTGTGAAAAACTTAGTCTTGTCAAATTAAAGTTGACTCAGGCCTTGCTGGGCACTTCTCATGTGAAGAAAGAAAAGGAAGTGGTTTTAATATAAATGGAAGAAACTGAAAAACTGTCTAAAAATTAAAAAATAGAATCACGATTATTCAGTGATCCTTCTCATCAATTTCTCCTTTGAATTTTCTTCAGAACAGCTAAAATCCTCCCATCAAGACAAGAATCTCGGGAGATAGACCAACAACAAAGCAACCAAAACCACATGAATAAATGAACAAGTGCTATGTTCCCTTTGCTTAAACAGTGCCTCGCAGAAAAAGTCTATCAACATGAACTTGCTGGCCTAATAAGTGAATGAATGAACAAAATAATTTTAAAGACAAGATTGTTCAGATCTTGGATGAAATATATATTCATTGTCAAAAATGTCTTCTTACAAGTGGATTTGTACAGATCACTGCTGTTTAAATCATAATGAAATATCATGCACTGTAATAAAATAATAATTTTTAATTTAATTGGACATAAGCATAAACATAGCAAATATAAAACAATGAAAACATGAAAAGAGTTCAGTGGCTGTCAACAAAATTGTTATTGACGGCTGTGTAATTACTATGTTTTATTTTTTCAGTATTCAACCATAGAATACATCTCCTCCTCTGCTATCTAAGTAGCTTGATATAATTTTTTCATACAATTTTTATTCATTATCCTTAGTTTTGCTTATTTTTTAAAATCATACAGCCATTTGGAAAGGGGTGTGCTTTAATTTTTAGAATACCTATAGTTATAAAATCTTTCCACATTCAATTTGTTTCTACTTAGTGTCACAGTTTCCCAACTTATTGTCAATTCAGGGAAAGTTTGAAGGAGATGTGGTCCTATTAAAAGCTTGAAGGTGATAAAGTATAAAAATAATATATTATGTTTAAATAGCCAATAGCCTGTTTACAAGCATCTATACTGACCGATGCCTCCTTTCAATTAAACTGGAGCAGAGAAAAGTTATAATATATTGTCCCCAAAGTAGTCTGGCTCCTCCCACACTGTGGCCTCAGTCAAGGTGCAGGGCTGCCACCACACTTGAGTTGACCCTTTTCTAAATTACAGACTTCTCTATTCTCTATGGTCTTAATATCTCTCAAAATTCATATGTTGAAACTTAATCCTCGTTGTGAGAGCCTTAAGAAGACTTTTAGGAAGTGATCTAATCACGAGGGCTCTGCAATCATGAATAAATTAGTGCCTTATCAAAGCGCACAAAGGAAGTAGCATGGGCAACTTTTTGCCCTCCTGTCCCTTCCATCATGTGAGGGCACAACACTCATTGCCTCTGGAAGACATGAAGAAGAGGTTGGATGCCTCACCACACACCAAGCCTGCCAGCTCCTTGACCTTGGACTTCTCAGACTCCAGAACTGTGAGGAATAAATCTCTATTCTTTATAAATTACCCAGTCTGAGGTATTTTGTTAGAGCAGCACAAATGGACTCAGACACTATTCCTACAGCTGGAGCTTATAGACTTTCATTTCTGATTTTTACACTGATGAAATTAAAGTTCTTTCTTTATATTTTCATATTTTTCTCTTTTCTTCTTCTTCTTCCTCTTCTTCTTTTAAAATAAAGCTAAGAAGCTGTACCCAGGATTGTTTTATATTAGTGATATATTCAAAAGAGTGTTCTGCTTATCTGTAGACTGAAGACACAAATTTCAACTAATATTACATTCTTTTTATATGTTATATCTAAAACAGAGATGCATAATCTCAAGACCATTGTGAACAAAAAAGCATATGTTATTGATTTAAAACTCTACATTCCATTTTTTCACATTTTACAGCAGCTAATCAATTAGTGGAAGGTGACAATTAACCATCTGATCTAACATTTGGGAGTAGTCAAATAAAACTGATAAAGTAACAGGAGAAAATTTAAGTGTAGGGTGTGAATCATGTGAGATATCTGGACTCCAGTGCTTAGAGGATAGTATAAGAATTAGCCAAAAGCAATCAATAAACGTGATATGTATTCCTTTTAAGTATCACACAGCTCTTCCTTGCAATCCAATTATGCGTTTAAATCTTTGACTTATGTGCAGTGCAAAGGGGGCAAGTTGATAGGATGTGAGTTAGATATGTAAACTGCATAAACATTTCAGTTGAAGTATGTGATTCTCCCAGTTAGCCTTCCTAAATGACTCCTGAGTGATATTTGAAAATACATATTATTACAGGGGAAGAAATGAGGGAAATCATTTTATGTTTTGTTTTACCAAGCTCCAAAAACTGTTAA